GAATTTTTTTTTTAAGCTATTGCAGTGGTGAGAGCTTCTCTTGAACTCCAAAAAGAAAACTCAACGGAGTCACTGCATGCAAGTTTCCTCTGCTTATAGAGACAACATTTTCCTTACAAAGTACTTTGTTTTTTTATCAAGGGATAGAGGACAGGATCTTAGATTCTGCATTCAAAGCAACAGTTAGTGAAGTTGCTAAAGTTAAGTTGCAATAATCATATTCTCCATGGGGTTTTGGCTGTCGCTATAGTCACCTTCTTTCTTTCAAAATATGCTTTTCATTGTTCTACTGCCCTTTTTCCAATTGCTCTGCAGCCAAGTTCTTGGAAAGCAATCACGCTTCTTGTTTAGGATTTATTGCTAGTCTTTTGCCAATAAGGACATGCACAAATCTCTCCTGTAATCATCCTGCAAAAGCAAGCTAAAAATACAGCAATTTATGAACAGGCACATTTCACATGTTATATGGCATCAGTGTGCACTCATCAAAAAATTCTGAGATATATAAAAGAAGGTCACCCCTTTTGGCTAGGCCGATCAAAGGCTCTGCTTGGGTGCCATAAATAAGTTCCATTTTAGAATTCCAGTCTACCCAAAAAGAATAAAAAAATATGCATTTGCGTTGTGTTTTAGTGGTTGAAGGTGTTCTGTTTTTTTCTCCTTTTACCAGGTTTACATGGTAAACTTTGCACTTTAGAAACCCCCAGGTCTGAGAAGAACAATAGTTTATCTTCCAAATTGGCTGTTTTAAAACTAATAACTGTGACAACTAATTTAGTTATCACTAAAACTTTAAGGTGGTGGGAATTGTCTGTCTGTCTGTCCAAATTTGTAAAGGATTTTGCAATTTCAGAGTCAAGTTGTATTTGCGTTTTGAAACGTGTTTCAGGTAGTCTAAGAAAGCTCACACACACAGAAGCAGCCGGTAACACGAGGGAAGACTGATCTTACGGCTAGGAAGGAATGGATCATGATGAAGAGTATCTAGGTAATCACCATATCCTGGTCATGCTTATCTGACCATATTGTTTGTTTTTCATACAAACATCATAGTTTAATCATCAGCCCCTTTGAAAGGCTTGTCTTTTATCAGCCTATTGCTTCTGACAGGCAGGGGTAGATGCATGACCCTTATGGATGTGTTTTAAAGCTTCTCTGGGTTAAGGCTGTTAAAAGTTCCTCTGAAATGTTGGGAGACTCAGCCCTTGGTCTCTCCCGGACCCCTCCCATTGGCTCCTTGGTTCTGATGATGTCCTCTGTCAAACAACCTTAAACCGGGAAAATCAATTGGGATTCATTCACCAACCCGGATTGACTGCTAGCAGCGTGGTGTATCTCCATTACTAATGGCTAGATGATTCTGTAGTTCAGACATGATTGCTGAGACTCAGAAACAAGACGACTAATGAAAAGATCCAGATAAATGTTTCACCACCTCATAATTTGGGGTTCTCACTCAACCTGAAATGACTGCAATTGTTATTATTTGGCTTTTCTTTTTAGGATTCTCATCTTTCTTGTCTTCCCTTCTCTGCTTATTCTTTTCCCCAGGCAATACAAGATGGTCCCAAATACCTATTTGGTTCCTATAATTAATCCAGATGTATTTTCTATTCAGTCCTAAAAGGGACTAGCGGTTTACGAAATGGGATTTTACATCCAAGAAATGAGAAATGATACTTGAGGAAACAGCATAAATTTATTCCTAATAAATTATAAATGAACTTTCAAATGCAAGAAAACTCCATTTTTTATGTGTTCAGACTGGCAGACTTCTGAGTATAACAAGTAACTTACATGTAATTTTGTGTCAAAAATCATATTCTGTATAACAAGTAACTTACATGTAATTTTGTGTCAAAAACTTCATATTCTGCAAAAAGATGAAGATTTCCTGAAATTTATTCTCTGCTCAAAATTATTCAGTGAAATACATTTTCGTATGTGAACTGCATTTGCTCTTTTTGTTGCTCTAATAAGATTACTCATGTATCACATGGCATCAGTTAATTCTGGGTATGCTTCTCATTGTAATCATCAGGATTCGAGTGCAAGTATTTGTATAACAGTTATAAAACTTGCTTCCTGGTATTTCAGCTAAACAATTCACTTTGCATTGGGGGTTGCTTTAGTACAACTTAGTTACAAAGGAACTTAACACAAGGGACCACAGAAAAACCGTTAGCAAGGCCAAAGCAAATGAGTTGCAAAATTTAAACCAATATTTGCTAGAAAATGTTTGTGGTGGTCACTCAGCCCTACTTCTGAGTCCCTTACAGAAGTCCTCGCCATTGGACTTAACGTTGCGGGTCTACCTAAACCTCCCTTTGAAACTAACCTGAAATTTCCCTTTTGCTACTGATACTGGGTTTGTGTTCCCCTTGCAATCGTGATAAAACTGCTTTTACTAATGTCTGCAGAATAGATCACATCATTTTCCTTCTTCTGACATTAAGTACCACATTGCAGGCACCAATCACCATGTAATTGAGCTAATATAGCTTTTACTTTTGACTTAACAAGTGGAAACAGACATGTATGTACTTGGCTTTGGCTACATGTTCACCCAGCTAAATCTATTGATGGAGTCTGCAAGACTGGGAACAAACTTATTTTTAGATACCATAATCCTCAATATATTAATTTGCTTTTGCTCTTGGTCTTCCATATGCTGTCCATCGTCTTCATCTGCAATGGCATCTACCTACACTGCTCCTTGCACATTTTAAAAACACTTTACTTGCAGCAGCTCGCAATGATAACTAAAAGTGTGGAAACACACGCAATACAGACATAATACATGTGGCTCTGATGTCAGGTAGGTAACTTGTCCTTTGTTCTTCATTTCAGAAAATTTCACACCCCCTTCAAAAAAGCTTTCAAAATAAATAAGCACCAGGCCTCAAAAAAATGTTGTTGGAGCTTCATACACGGTTAAAAGAAAAGTTGGAATACAGTTTGGAGTAGATCTTAATAATAAAGTTCTGCCATTTGGATTATAGCTAACAGCTTCTTTAATACGACTTTAACACAATAAAACAACATTACTGTTACCATCTTGCTGAGGAAGGTAGAAAAAGACCATAAAACTGAGCGGCACGTTTAAAATTATTTGCAAAATACGGTCTCTCTGAAAACAACACACAATAACTGTAATTAATACCAGTCCTTTAAAGTATTCCTAAAGTCCACTGAAATCTAAACCAGTATTGTATTGCTGGTAGCAACAACTGCATCCTAAACAATATTAAAAATTACAACAGAAAATAAAAATTCTCCATCAGAAGTCAGAAAGTTATAATTCACTGATCTGCTGAATGGAATATCACCTTTGCCCTTATTATTTATAGAGCTTTTTTGGGAGGATCTCAGGACTTTACTCTTTAGCTAAGCCTCACAAGTTCAACAGCCCATGAGTTATATAAACATTATTTTACAATCTGAACTATTTTCCCAGCAAAAGGATCGCTCCAGGGGAGGACTATTTGAATTATTTCTTTTACAAAACTAATATTGCTTTACTCGTACTTCCATAGCTCCAGAGTGACCAAAGCTGAAGTCCACCCGAGCAGTCCCCGGCCTCGCTAGCGGGCTGTTCCAGGCATTTCAGAGGACAGCGGAAAAAAAAAGGCTGCAGGTTGTACCGCACCTAAAACCGCCCAGTCTAGCAAGTATTTTCAGGGAATAGAAGTTTGAATAAAGGCTTGGAAAAAGGTCTTATTTTAAATAGTAAGCAAGTACATAAATACATACATAAAACCGGGTGGCAACCGGCAGAAAACGGTCGCATCTTGGCAGTGATGCTGCAACCGTGAGACGCGTGGCTTGCGCGTGGCGCTCATCCTCCAGCCAGGGGGGATGCTCCCCGACGGACGG